ATATATATATATATACATTCATATATATATACATATATATACACACACATATATATACACACACAAACACACACACACACACACACACACACACACACACACACACATATATATATATATATATATGTGCTTGCATATAACTTTGCGAGAGTGTTCGATGAATTAAAGTAAATTAAAATGATTTAAATTAAAACAGAGGTGTATTTACATATATTATTTATAAACAAAATTGCATATTTTTCACAACTATTAGTTTCATGCTAAATGCAATCATCAGGTGATATATATAACGTATATATATATATATATATATATATATATATATATATATATATATACACGTACAAGCTTTCACAGTAATGCGTGTGATCGCACCTCTTTATATGACCAGTAGGGTACAGCGAAAATTTAATCTAATCTAAAAGCTTAGGAAAAGGTGTATTTTTATGTAAAATTAAATTTTGAAGAGGGTTTTTTAAAAAAAAATTTTAATCAGAAAAAGTTTTGATACCCAAATATGTACTTTTGAAAATTACAAAAACTAGTAAAATCTAATTTGCCATATGTCCTTCATTGTATTTTACATTTTCTTATTCATTGCAATAAAATATAATATGCAAATAATATTTTTAGATTGTTGAAAGTTTTTTTGACACTTTTCAAAATTGCTGCAAAGTTAAGTTTAGGTGTTTTTCTTGGTCTGATTCGAATATCTCTAAGAATATCATTACCCCTTAGTTTAAAAATTCAATCAACTGCAAAATTGCAATCTTCTGAATTATTACTAGATAATAAAGAGATTAGAATACTTTCATAATTCGCATACCAAGCTCCTAACTGGATGTAAGGATCACAATTTCTTTTACTCTGTCAGGTTGCGTTCTAAGAATTCTCAATTGAGACAGAATGTGATAGGAAGCATCTTCAAGTCTGTCTTTAACCTTTATGTCAAAAAAAAGTTTAAAGCAAAATTGTAAAAAAAATACGACAAGTAACTCTGGATTTTGTGAGTTTTGATCATTTAAGTCGTGTTTTCTTGTCCACATAAAGACTATTCTCATACCAATAGTGAGCCATCTGGCATAATTTAAGGGGCCACTTTAAATTTCTCTAAGATTAGGTGGCAATATATCAATCTTAACTGTTTTACATAGCTTGTAACATTGTTTCTGATCTGTTGACATTTTTTTAAATATTATTTCTGGAATGTTGACAAAGCTCTCTCCATTTGGAAGAGCTTTAAATTGAGGATTATACTCCATTTTATTAACATCAGGAAGAAATTTTACCACAGGACCTACAAAATTTTGATAGTTTATCATTTTGATTTTTCTAATAGTTTTAGATTAGTACATACAATAAACATAATAAACATGAGTGAAGCACAACTTAGGTCAAAGAAAAAAGAATTTTTTTTATTATAAAAGAGGCAAAGCCAGTTTTATAAGGGAGAAACATTTTTATTAATACTGGAATTATTAAATTACTGGTCACTAAAATATTTATTTAAAAATAATTACAGTTGTGTACAACTTCTAACAGGATTGGATGTTCTTCAACATTTAATACACAATCAACAATTTAAACCTGTGCCAATATCGAATAATATTGCTTGTTGTCTTAAAATAATTTTTTTAAGATAGTTCAGATAGTTGTGAATGTATTTTGTCTAAAATAAAGAGACCCTGGATTAAAGCTGGCTTTGATGTTTCAACTGATTTAAGTTTATTAAAAAATATTTTCCAACTTGAAAAAATAAAAAGTACTATTCCAACTTGAAAAAAAATGGAAAACGAAGAACTATAAATAATTTGAAGAAAAAAAATGAGTTTGAGATGGTTTGAAAAATGAGTTTGGGCTGGTAATCCTAATCTCAAAAACATGATAAAAAAAGATTGGTAAAAGACAAGATTGAAGATTTAAAATTTCTGAAAAATCAAGAAGGTAAAAGAAAGTTTGTTATTGGTTTAGAGGATATTAAGTATAAAAAAAAGTCAATGCTTTTAGTTAAATAATTTATCTCTGGTTTAAACTCTGTTAATTTATTCTTTTTTTTTTATAGATTCTAAAATTAAAAACAATAATTTTTCTTTAAATTAGGCAAAAGAAAGAATCAGGAAAAAAATTGTTCACAGCCTAAGAATTTGATAGATAATATACCCAATAGTAAACTTTTGAACACAATTCTAAACGAGGAATCTTTAATCAAATCTGATTTTGATCTGATTACATAGAAGTTTCTGAAAACCCAGATACATTAACTGCAAAAATTCCAAAAGATATTAATGCTGCTTATGTTTTGTTTACTGTTACAGCCTGTGATATATTTGTCAAATGTTTTACAGAAAGTAACAAATGCAATTCTATACCAATCAGGTGTTAATCTTAAAGAAGTTAAAAGTAGCCAGCCTACTGCTTATAAAAAAATGATAAAATAAAATGAAAAAATGTCCATCATTACAAAAGAAGATATTAAGGTAGCCATTGATGCATCTTCATATCCATGTATAATTCATTTTGAATGCAAGATCTTGTTTGAGCTAAACAAAAGAAAAGTATTAAAGAAGGTTGTTTTAGTTAAGCTTAATGGAGAGACTTACCTACTTGGAGGACCTCTGGTAAACCTACTTGGAGTACCTCCGCTAGCATCATTAACTGGTTAAGATCAGTTTATAGGTTTAATGAATTTAATTAAGGAGTATCAACTTACATCAAAAACTAGAGGAATATGCTTTGATACAATCTCATCCAATACTGAGACAAATAAAGGATGAGTTTCCATAATATCTAAAGAACTAGATAAGTATCTTCTCCAAATAGCTTGTAGACATCACATGACTGAATTAAGAATGATTCATTTTTGGAAATTAGTGACTAATGACAAAACTAATGGACCTGATAATTCTCTTTTCAAAAAGTTAAAAAATATTTTTAAAGAACCTAATTTTAATTATAATCTAGTTCAACTGTTATGATTTGATTGGAATAAGGTTAAAAGCTCTCTTTTAAAAAAGGCAGCGAATAAATCATTGACATTTTATGTTGGTCAACCGATATTATAAGAGATGATAGAAGTGAGCTTGCAGAATTAGTTGTCACTTATTTAGTTCACATAATTTATTTGATATAATTATAATTTATTATATCATTTATGTATTATAATTTCACATTATTTATTCATCCCCTTTCACATAAAAGATGTATGAAGTTTCAAATGTAAGAAAAATTAGTGCTATTCATCATGCAAGATTTTTTATTATCTAAAACTTCAACTTCTATCCAATCAAATTGCTTTTGTTCAGAAAACGATAAGTTGAAAACTGAAATTAAGCTTATATCATAATTTCTTGTTTGCTTTTATGCAAAATAGTATCTACAATCTGAGGATGTCATGAAATCTTTGTTTCTTGATTTTACAGCCATACATCAAATGCATTTGTACAAGAATGTATGTACAAACCCAATAGCTGTTAATACTGAATTAGAGTCTCAGTATAAGCATTGTTGGTATTTGGATTCAACCATGATACCTCTAATTTTGTTAGATGATGAGTTAGCATTAAAGGAGAAGGCAAAAATTGCATAGATAATTCTGTTATTTTGATATGTCTAGCTCTAGACTATCATAAATCTGAGAACAAAGTAAAATATCAAGGAAGTTTATAAAATGGATACAAATATTGGTAAAAAACCATCATCTTTGTCAGCCTTAATTGACAACTTTTCTTACCTGATTTTTGACACAATTAACAATTAATAATAATTGAGCTTGATAAGCAACGAGTTAAAGACTGGTTCTCCCTTCCACTAAACTATTGGCATCTATCATGTTTCAAAAGTTTTCAAAATTATGCTGAAACCCTGATTTTTGTAAATGACCATTCAAAACGGTCTATAAGGACAGCATACTCATAGATATTCTGATGAAACTGTGAACAGATTGCTCACAGTAGACAAAGTTGAATCTGTATTATAATCACCAAAACAAAAATCCAGCACACACACACACATATATATATATATACATATATATATATATATATATATATATATATGTAAACCTAACATTAATTCCAAAAAAAAGTGATCTGATTATATACTTGCCCCAAATTTAGGGGTATGGTTTTTTAGATATAAAAATTTACTTTTTTTGACTACCCTTAATATATATATATATATATATATATATATATATATATATATATATATATATATATATATATATATATATATATATATATATATATATGTATATATATATATATATATGTATATATATAAATATATATATATATATATGTATATATATATATATATATATATATATATATATATATATATATATATATATATATATATATATATATATATGTATATATATATATACATATATATATATATATATATATGCATATATACATATATATATGTATAAGTATATATATATATATAAACATATATATATATATATATACATATATATATATATATAATATATATATGTATATATATATATATATATCAGTATACATACATACATATATATATATATATATATATATATATATATATATATATATATATATATATATATATATATATATATATATACATAAATATATATACATAAATATATATATATATATATATAAATATATAAACATTTATATTTATACATAAATATATATATATATATATAAATATATATATATATAAAAATATATATATACATATAAATATACATACATATATATATATATATATATATATATATATATATATATATATATATATATATATATATATATATATATATATATATATATATATAAATATATATATATATATATTTATGTATATATATATATATATATATATATATATATATATATATATATATATATATATATATATATATATATATATATATATATATATGTATATATATATACATATATATATATATGTATAGAAATTTTATTAGAAATAGAAAAACATACTCGAGCAATGACAATATCTTTAGGACTAACGATGTAAAACAATTGTTCTTCTTCAACCTTTTCTAAACAACTTTATAGTATTAAAACTAATAGATAAAAAAATAGCTAAAAAAGTTTATTGTTTATTGTTAAGTTTATTTACCACTAGGTTAAAAAAGAAAATACTAATTTTACTTTTATCAGTTTTATACTAAAGAACAAGTTATTTTATTTAAAATCTAAAATCAACTTTAAACACAATGATGCACTGCAAAAAAACAAATTTTGTCTTAATAAGTTATAAATTTTCTATGTTTTAAACAAATCTCTAAAGTTTCTGTAAATATTTTTGCACTAAGCAAATAGTTCTAACCCAACGATATACTCGGCCTTTCATAACACTCATCCTCAAATAGCTAATAATTATTGATTTAAAATAAACAACAATTATTAACTACAATTAAAAATTTAAATTGAATTTAATAAACCTTTAAAAAAATTCATAACAGAACTTATATTTTAAATTCCTATAAAGTAGTTTAAAGTTAATGTTTATCAAAAATACATTTTAAATAATAAAAAAAGTTAAATTATTTAATTTTTAACTTAATGGTCCAAATATTCTTCTTTTCTTTCCAAATTCTTTTAAAAAAAATAAGACTGGTAGTATAGAAACTCATTCTCACTATGAACTTAATTGCTAAAACTAGATTATTTAACTCTGAGAAAAGAGATAGCATATTCCATTAATTTACTGTATTAAAAATGTTTTTTTAAAGAAAATTATAAGATGATAAAAATGATAAAAAGACTTTTTGCAGTATTTATGACACAGACAAAAAATGTATATCATAATATTTATATAATACTGTTTATTTTGAATAGTTTTTTCAAAAATAATAAAAAAAACTTACCCAGAAAATAATTATTACATTTGTATTCTTCAAAGCCGCGAATAGATAAACAATCAATTGATGCTTCTTCAAATTTATACATTCCTTCTGGTTTTATAACTAAAAGTTGAGGTCGCTTTGCGGTGCCCTATATTAAAAAATAAGGCTTAAGATCTGTCAGCCTAAATATCTTTCAGCCTAAGAGTTGTCAGCCTAAATATCTTTCAGCCTAAGAGCTGTCAGCCTAAATATCTTTCAGCCTAAGAGCTGTCAGCCTAAATATCTTTCAGCCTAAGAGCTGTCAGCCTAAATATCTTTCAGCCTAAGAGCTGTCAGCCTAAATATCTTTCAGCCTAAGAGCTGTCAGCCTAAATATCTTTCAGCCTAAGAGCTATCAGCCTAAATATCTTTCAGCCTAAGAGCTGTCAGCCTAAATATCTTTCAGCCTAAGATCTATCAGCCTAAAGATCTTCATTATTACTAAAGATCTGTCTACTTTTTGTATAATTAAAATATTTAAATCAAATGATAATCATTTATTAAATGAAATAAATATTTTTAAACTTTAAATTGCATTTGACATTTGATCCATTCTACAAGGCTTTTCTCTTTTTTTCCAAAAATATTAATAAAGAACTCAAAAAATAGAAATAATAAAAAGTTTAATATATATAACAAGAGTCAAATTTTTTATTAAAGAAATCTAGTTGTATTAGAATAACTGAAAATTTTAAAATACAAATGAGTTTTTAAAAAATTAAAATATGAAAAAGTAAAAAAAATTTAAACTGATAAACCAGTTATTTTTAACTATTTTCATTGGTTGTCTAGTTAATTTTTTACTGTTAACAATATTGGTAAAAGAGAGTAGGAAAATTGTAATTGATAAACCAGCAAGTGTAACTTTTATTGTTTTGATGCTTTGGACCTAACTACAATTTTTTGAAATACTTCAGGGTTACTTTAAGCAAACACTTAGAGGTTACTTTCAGAAACCATTTCAAGGTTACTTTCAGCACACACTTAATGACTTTAAAAAAGTATTTATTTGTTTTGTTTTTTCAAAATGCTTTTTCTATTATATAACTTTCAGCATTAATAGCTAGAAGATCTAAAACTACCTTACCTTTGTAGGAGCAGCACCATCTTCTTTATCAAATGAATATGCCAATACAGCCTCAAATGCAAGAAGAAAAAAAAAGATGATTAGCTTTTAGACTTTTTATCATTTTATCTGCATGCATTGGTCATTTTAAATAAAATAAATGATCAAAACTCATCTTCTAATCTTGGGTTCGGAATATTGTAATTGTAATGAAAACAATAACAGAAACAACAACTTTTTTTTTTAATTTTTTTTTTTAGAATAACAAAGATTAAACAATATCTAAGATTTACAACTATTGTTACAATACAAAAATAATAAATAAAATATCTATACAAAAACAATACCTAAGATTTACAACTATTGTTACAATACAAAAACAATAAATGTTGTATTGTAATTCATCATAATAATACAATAGAAATTTGTGGGAAGAAAATTAGAAATATTTAAATAGTTAAGCAGCCATGTCTTAATATAATTGCTACAGTCATTCAATGACGTTTTGCTTTCGTTTTTAAAGCAGTTTTAATTAGTTACTAGGCTTTTCTGAACTTGAAAGAGTTAAAACTTTTTACCTTTGGAATTAAATTATTATTTATTAGAATAGAAATATTACATAAAGAATTAAGATAAATAATCATTGCTAAGATCATATTATAATTGAAGTATAGAAAATAGTTTAGCAATTTATATATAAGATTTTTATTAGAAATAAAGTAGAAAGGATCACTCCTTTTAATTTTTTAAATAGTTTACATTTTGTTTGTTTTAGTTTTTCATTTTGTTTTTATTGAGCATATCTTATATTTTTTAGGAAGGTAGGGGTATGGATTTTTTTAAAAACTAATTATTTTTTATGCATTTTTTATGCAACAAAAAATGAAATTAACAATCAAAAAAATACTAGGTATGCTGCTTGGCAAGCAGCAAATAATTTGAACCTAAATAAGAAGTGCGTGGTTAGGCGAGTTGAAAATAATCGTCACAGAAATAAAAGAAATAGGCTTAGGCAAGATGAAATTAATAATTGACAAAATGCTAGGTATGCTGCTAGATACGAAAGAATGCCTTGTATAGCAAGAAGTAATACTATTCCAGATTAAAATTTTTTTTTCCTGATTTGTAATTTTTTTTTTTTAAATATTGTACAGGGCGCAACAAATTTTTAATAAACGTTGACGTTCGTTTCTTTATTTATTGACGAACGTTTCATTTAAGAGTTTAATGTCAAATATGTACCCCCATATACCTCCCCCACGCACCGCCCTTCCTCATCCTCCCCACACACACTTTTTTTTAAAGTTTTTTTTTTTTTTTTAATTTAAGAGAAATTCTAGATATAGAGGACTTTTTTCATAAACAGATTGTTGCGCACCTCCACTTCGAACCCTTGTCGTCTGCAAGAATAAGCCAGTTTTATTTTTAATTCTTTCAATTTTTATTTTCTTTTCAATTTAAATAACTTTTTATTAAACTTTTAGTTTAATTTTCAAATAACTTTTAATTAACTTAGTTAGTTAATAACATATATATTAATTAGATATATCAAAGATACTAATTGAATTTTATCAACTTTTTATTAATTTAAAACAATTTTTCACGCATTTGCAAAGTGTGCGCAAATTAATGACAACTAATATGCAATAACCTTTTTAATGTAAACTGTTATCTATTAAGGGGTTGTCCATAAATTACGTCACACAATTTTTGACCAATTTTGACCTCCCCCCTTCTCATCACAAAATTGTAATACTTAAGAATCAAGTTTTGTATGAGTCGTCACAAAACCACCAACCCCCCCCCCCCCTCTATAGTGTGACATAATTTATGGACGAGCCCTAATACAAATATTAGGTGAATTTTTCTCAATTTAGTTTATTAACTCTTAAAAAAAAGATACAAACTTGATGAAATTTAAATAAAAGGGAACTAAAAAAAAAAAAAACATTAAAAAATAATAATATAATATTAAGCATTTAACAAGTTATTATATTTATAATTTAATAAGTTATCATTAAATACCTGATATGCTATAATTTAATAAGTTATTATTAAATACCTGATATGTTATCATTATATTTATAATATTAAGTATTTAATAAAAAAATATCATATTATTGGTGTTGTTAAACGCACAGTAAAAAATGAAAACTATAATAAACATAATAGTTCTATAAATTCTATTAAATTATAAATATTTCTGCAAATTTTTTTTCAAAACTTTAAAAACGGCAAGTAAACATTACTTTAACTTAACGTTAATAAGAAAATTTTTAAAAAAGCACGCTTTTAAAAAAAAGAATGTTTTAGCATGGTTTCATTTAAAGTAATGCAAATGCATTCATTTTAACTTAAATTTGCCATTCTTTTGTAAACGCATGTAAAAACCATGCTAAAACAAAACTTTTTTTACAGTTGCTAACTTAAAAAAAAAGCTATTAAAGCACGGTTATTAACACGGTTTCTTTTAATGTCATTGAAACTGCGTTTTAAATTTTAGTAACTTTTTTTTTTTATATTAATAATGTTTTTTCTATAAAAAATAAAAAACTATCAATCACACAATTATTTAGAAAAAAAAATTGCTGAAGTTATGAGTTCGTTTTTAAAAAATTTAAGCGAACGCCAGTGTTTGCTTAAGTAAAAGTAATGAAACGTGACGTTCATTTTTCCGTCTTTTTTTAAACAAACGTTCGCACGTTCGTCAATTTGTCGCGCCCTGTTGTATATTTGATTTATTTTGATCTTTTTTAATTAAAATTTTAATTTTTTTTGACCAATTAAACTTAAATATAGTTAAATTGATTTATTATCCAATTATCATAATATAATGATGCTACAAGTGGTGGGATAGCTCAGATGGTTAGAGCGCCAAAGGAAAAGTTAAAACCCGGACTGTTGAACGATACGAGTTCAAATCCCACCACCGCCAACTCAGCGCTTGAGTAGTACTTTGGCACGCAAAAATGTTGGTCAATAACGGATGCTACTTTGGATTAGTCTTAATGACTATTTGTGGCTGTTCCTATTCTAAGCCAACAATATCTTCGGATATAAGAACATTGTATAGAAAAATATAGCATGAAAGCTCAAATAAGTAAATTAAAAAAAAAAAAATACATTCTATTGTTAAAAATAATTAATTGGTAGTTTAATTTATTGAACTCACTGCTTTTAAAATTTACTATAAGCCAAGACAATATATTTAGCAATATAAATCAATTTATTTATATCTCAATTTGATTTTTTATCTTTGATGTTTATAGTTTGACTCCTTGAAGCATTTTATATTTTGCTTTTTAATTTAAATATTTTAAATCTATTGTGATTTAAAATATTTAAATTTCATCAACATTCCTAAGTTCAACACAAAATTTTAGTTATTGACACAAAATAATTAAATACTTCATCATTCTTTAAATTGACAAAAATATCAACAAAATTCCTGTAATATTTTTTATAACATGAACTTTAAGTTTAGAAAAGTTACTTTTTCTTTAGAAAAGAAAATTTTTAGAAAAGAAAAGAAAAAAAAAGAATTTTTAGAAAAGAAAAGGAAAAAATAATAGTTATAGCTGGAAAACAATTTACCTGTTGGTAACCTGTTGTCACACTTCAGGTGTTATTATGATGCAGCAGTTCTTGTCAGTGTTGTTTAATGATGTTAAACAACACTTGTCAGTGTTGTTTAACATCATTAAACAACACTGACAAGAACTGCTGCATCATAATAACACCTGAAGTGTGACAACAGGTTACCAACAGGTAAATTGTTTTCCAGCTATAACTATTATTTTTTCCTTTTCTTTTCTAAAAATTCTTTTTTTTTCTTTTCTTTTCTTTTCTAAAAATTTTCTTTTCTAAAGAAAAAGTAACTTTTCTAAACTTAAAGTTCATGTTATAAAAAATATTACAGGAATTTTGTTGATATTTTTGTCAATTTAAAGAATGATGAAGTATTTAATTATTTTGTGTCAATAACTAAAATTTTGTGTTGAACTTAGGAATGTTGATGAAAATGGTTCTGCCTTACACTGATATGACCTATGTCAGTTGTAAATTACTCAAATAATATTAAATAATAATTGATAAATTATTTTACCTCCTCATACTTGTTATGTTAATTTTACAGATAGATTTTTTCAATTTAAAGGCATTTTTCTAAAAGGGTATTAGTTAAAGTTTCGCAACTTTAAATTTTGGAAAACAGCCACTATAAATTAATTATGTAACAGACCGACCATAACCCGTATTAAGGGTTGCTCTCTGCTAGTATTTTATGATTGGTTCAGTACTATTTGATGTGCTGAATTATAATATCTGGGATGCCAGAGTGGTACCCTTAATTAAACTACTTTCTAGTAAGTGTTGTGTTTTTTTTTTAAAATTAATTAAAAAGAACATGTTAAAACTTAATTAATTATATCCTACTTTCAAATAAGTGTGACATTTCTTTCCCACATTAAAATTAACAGGAAAAATAAAAGAGGTAAATAAAATATTTATTACATTATATTATTAAACAAAATAAAATAATTGTTAAAATAAAATAATTGTTTCATTGTATGATTAAACAAGTTGATCTATAATATATGTATAATATGAGAAAAATTTAAAGTTTTTATAAATATAAGCAAGATTGAAGAATTTCAAAAATTTTTATGCCTATTATTATATAATTATTATATGCTCTAAATGTCTGCAAATTATTGTCTCATGGTAGCTTTACTAATATGCAAAACAACATTGATTTATTTATAAATCTCAAACAAATTCACAGTTAGATGTGCTTATCTAAAAGTAGCATCTACAAAAGTAGCAAATTAGTAATTTGCTACTTTTGTAGATGTTTTTTTTGTTTTGAGTAGAAAAATAAAACTAATTTTAGATAAGCACATCTAACTATGAATTTGTTTGAGATTTATAAATAAATCAATGTTATTTTGCATATTAGTAAAGCTACCATGAGACAATAATTTGCAGACATTTAGAGCATATAATAATTATATAATAATAGGCATAAAAATTTTTGAAATTCTTCAATCTTGCTTATATTTATAAAAATTTTAAATTTTTCTCATATTATACATATATTATATATGTTTATACTTATAGACGTTTGTAACTATTGCTATACAAAATGGCGGAACCAAGAAATTATCAAGAGAGGGGAGAGTCATGGCAAATCTAAAATTGAGGTTTCAAATTTTCCACTTGAATTAGACAAAGTGTTTTAATCTTGTCAATTTTTTTAAATACAATAATATAAATACAAAAATTCAAAACAGAAAGGTTTAAGCAAAAAGACTTTATTATATTAGACTCTTTATTTATTTTAAAATCATATCCTCGTTATACAATATTTATGGTGTCAGTTAAAATTTTGACCAAAATGGTCTCCAAGTTCTTTTGTTTTTATTTATTATATTTTCACCTTCGAATTTTCTATTCTTTTTTGAAGAAGATTTTTGTTTGTATTTCGTATCTTCAAGGTTTTTTTTCATCAAAATTTTATGTGACGCCATTATATTATTTGATATAAACTAATTTTATTTTACGACTGTAATGTCTTCTTTTTTGACGGTTTGATTTACGTAGTTTTGTAACAATTTTTGTAACATTTTTTATTCCACTTGATGATGCTGACCGATTCCATCTGATGATACTGACCTGATGATACTGACTGCTATAGGTCAGCAAAATATTGTAAATATATATTAAATTCAAAAAATATTTAAAAAAAAGTTTATACGCGGCCTTATTAATCAAACTTATTTAGACTCTTTATTAGATTTATTAGAAAATTTTTCTTACAGGGTTCCCACTATTAAAACTAAGGCTAAAATTAAGGATTTTAAGGAGATTTAAGGAGATATTTTCTTAATATTTAAGGAGATTTGGTTGTGAACAACATTTTTATGAAAGAAAAAGTAAGGATAATTATAGAGAAAACAATTACATTAAAAACATAATCTTATTTTTTTCAATATATTTTAAATATAAACAGATAAATAATTATTACTTTTATATATTATCTTCTTTATTAACAAGTATAATCCATTCACTTTAAAAAAAAATTTCTAGATAGTAGAAAAAAATAAACAAATAAGGAGAAATTAAGGAGAGCAGTCAAATTTTAACTTTTTTAAAGGTTATTAAAGGACTTTTAAGGTTTTTAAGGAGGAATAGGAACCCTGTCTTGTATCCTCTATAAAACATTATATAAGAAGATTGTTTACATTTGCATATAACATATTTGTTTATTGTAATATTATGTTATATTAGATGCTATGCAATAAAGCTGCGCTTATTTAGAGAACCCGTTTGAAAAGTGTTGATTAATTGCAATGCAATATAAGAATTTATAAAAAGGTTTGTTTTTCTCATTAATGCATTTCTTTGACGGCTCAGTGATTTAATGCACTGTCATCAGTGTCTTTCGAAGGGTTCAAATCAACTTTGTAACAATATATTTTCATAAAATCAATATATAAACAAAAACTTTATAAAGCAGGCTATATTATATTTATAAATAATGGCAAATTATTTATAAATCAAAACTAAGAAGATGTAACTCTATAAATCAAAATTAAGAAATTACTTTTACTTATAAACAGAAACACAGTTTTTAAGTAAAAGTAAAATTGTAAACTTGATGTTTAATATCTTTTAACATTACATATAATGCATGCAAATATCTAATATGATTACACTTGCATGCACTTTCGTTCACATTTTCTTATTAAAAAAAATAATATACTAAAATATTTAATTTAATTGTTATTTAATAAACAATACAACATTATTGTGTTGTTAGAATAAAAACAATACAATAAACATTGTTAAGATTATTTTTATCACAACAATACTATAACAAAAAAATATTTTTCTTGTTTCTGTAATATAACAATACAATAATATTAAATTGTGTTGTGTTATTGTATTTTAATTTTTACAATTACAATTACAACAGTCCTAAATATGTAATAATCCAATCATTTTTTAACCACTAATAATCGCAATTCATATTCAAACAAAGTATAACCACATTGAATTATCAAATATTTGTTAAACTGAGTATCATAAAATAAAATTATTGTTTTTAATTAAATTATTACCATTTCATTACCAAATGGAGCAATTCCAGAAGCAAAATAGTCTATTTCAAAGATATGTGCTAAAAAAAATATTTATTATTTAACAAAGGTATGTGTAATAAATAAAATACATTTACACATGATGAAAAAAAAAAAATTATTTTTAGTTTGTTGTTGGTTAATTTGATTTAATTTTTTTTTTTCAATGCTTTTATTAACTCGTCTCTGTCAGTTTGTCTGTGAGCATCAAATTTTGCAATCAATTTTTGAGTCACTTCCTGATGATTTTCTTCTAATTTTGCATAGATACTCTTGCTTGATGACAACAAAATATTCAATAATTAGTTTTGTAATAAGTAAATTAATTTAGTTAATTTTAGTTAAACTCATTTTTTATATGGATAGAAGAAGAATAATTTTTTAAATAACTATGTTAATTGTTTTCCTACTTATACATGCGTTTAGCTTACTTGAATAAGGCGTTGACTTCGTAAATGAAATGTCTGTGGTTCGAGATTTTTCCTGAATTTTTTTTCCTGAATTTTTTTTTTTTTATACACATGCTTACAGATGAATGTTAATAAAATAAATTAGTAATATCAGAAAAAAATTTATTGCAAAACTTGTGTTTTAATAACATACAAAAGCATATAGAAAGTTTAATGCTGTTGCAAAGGCGTGCTTTGAGAATGTTTCGGAACATGATTTTGATGAAAAATTGTTCTTTTCAAGCACTTTTTCCTGGCACTTCCTGCAGGAACAGTCACTCCTCAAGTCCATGCTGTGTTTTTTCATATCAAGGATTTCATCATGAAAAAGAACACTTCATAAGGAATTTATAGTGAGCAAACAACTGAAACTTTCCATCAACAACTTCAAAATAATTGGCAACGGTATGAGCTTTAAAGGTTTAAATGGTATAAGATTATAAAAATACAATGAAAACAAATTATTAGTGCATACCCTGTATGCCATAGTAATATACCTTTAAATAGAATATTGCAGTCAACTACATCAAAAAGCAATTTGGAGATCAATAAAGATGTTACAAGTAAAAAAACCACAATCGATTGCACCACAAATCATTTCAGTAAAGCTAATAAGAGCAGGGGAAGTAGAGTATTGTAAACAAAATCTGGCACCTATAGAAAAACTTAGAAATATCAAGAAAAGTAGTAAATACATTAATTTTTCAAGAATTTTTGTTGATATTTGATAATAATGATATTGGACTGTAGTTATTGCAGTCAGATTTTGAGTCTTTTTTAGGGATTGGTTTAATAGATTTTTTAAATACTTATGGAAGTCAGCATAGTATGAGTAAATGCTTTATTGTAGTTCTTCAAGAAATTGAAGTAAAAAGTGAGTCAAAATTTGTTAAGATTTTAATTTGATCATGTATCATAGTGAAGATACATAAAATGGATATGAGATATCTTCTAAACCTATATTCAAAAGACTTCTAATACCCTTTCACATAGCCCTCAAACAAGTGCTGTTAGTAGAAAAGTATTTGGAAAAACTGTTTTTTTTTGTATTTGTTTTGCCTAATAAGTGAAAAAAGCTGTTTCTTTGAATACTTTTTAAGTTGAAATACTTATTTGATGAATGATGAATACTTTAATTTGATGTTTGCACAATAAAACACAAAGAATTTTGAACATAATTATGTTATCACAAACGTAATTACATAGAAACGTTTCATGAGATTTTTATCTGTATTTCCAAGTATTTCAGCAGACAACTTATAGTTTCGGAATACTTTTTGTGTTGGGTTTCCATCATTTGTTGTATCTGAACCACTGCTTTTTGGTACATTTACAATTAAACCTAAGTAATCTTTCACCTTTTGTTGAACAATATTCTTTTTTTTTCTAACAATTTCTTTATCATCCTCTCCTCTAATTTGCCATTTTCCTAATTAAATTCTATAACTTATATGAAGGCAGCATTCAAAGCACCTAATCCAATGCGAATTGTTTGGTAATCGGCTTTACTAAATAGGCAGTCCAAAATCAACGCTAATGCTTCCTCTCCAGTATACATTGTTGTTGAATTAACTGCACCATCTTTCTCTAATTTTAATATTTGCTTCACAACCTTAAGTGTAAAAATGTAAATTTAAAGAGTGCACAGTGATCAGGAATAACTTAAAATTAGGCCAAAATTAATTTTGTCAAAAATATTTATTCAAAATTGCTGAAAATTTACTCTAAGATTGAAATAAAAGTAGACAAAAAAAGAAGATTCAAAATATTTTAAAAAGAGTTAAATACGGTCAGGGGGTGCAAATTTTACTAGGCCCCCCTCCCCACCAACTTTCCCCTGAATAATTTTAACTAATTATGTTTTAAACTAACTATTATTTTAAAGACAAAAAAAAATTTCAAAAATAATTAGTTAACATGATCTATACATTTTATATTTGACCCAATTGAAAAATAATCATAAAAATAAATATATCAGTATCATCGTCCTATTCATTATGTTTATATACATCTTTGTAATCTATTTCCTCAGTAACTAATTTATAATTTTCTTCATCTTCGTCTTCGTTGTCATACTCATTTTACTCATTATCAGTTTCATTATTACTTTGGATTTCATCAATGGTATTTTTATTTGATTATTTAACAAGTTCTAGAACACTTTTTGATAATTGAATTTTTTTAACTTTACTTTTATCTTGAGAAATTATTATTGTTGATATTATTGAATCACTTGTAATGAGAAGATAGTGAAATTGGTCCTCAATTATATGGAGTCTTGTATCTTTTCTTGAATGGTGAAGTCTCAATTGTTTATTATCTTTATTTATAGATTCTTGAACTTCTTCTGAATATAATCCAATTGGCAACAAGAACTTTGAAATTATTTCAGAACTGTGAAGCAATAACTTAAGCATAGATACAAGCATATAAAACCAATTATATTTTTTACAATAAAGCCTTGCTGTTTTAGTGCAATATTCACTGAATTTTATTGTATCTATCTCATAACTTGAATTTATTATGTTCAAAATGTTTGCTAAACGTTCTATTAATTCTTTATTTATGCCTGTAATAGAAGAAAATAAATCAAAATGTTTAAATGCTTGTCTGGCAATATTGCCATCATTTGAAGTTCCAGAACCATCTTGCCTAGGAAAATATATTCTTAAAGGGATCCCAAACTCCCAACACATGTTGTATTCATATTAAAGATAATGTTAAAAAAAAAAGGTGAAACCAAGTTTTTTTGATTAAAAATATAATGAATGCATACCGAGAAAAACTAATGTTGTTATTTTAGCCTAAGCTCGCCTTCTCCATTTTTTTGAATAACTCAGAGTCTTTAAATTATACGTCGCAATCTACAGACTTTGGCGATTCCTTCGAAGCGCATTTAATTCATAAAAGTTTTAGCATTTGACGTCACGGTAGATTTTTAAACAAAAGAAAAGTGTAATTAAACAAAGCTGCGTTTTTCTATTTTAATTCAAAAAAAAAATTTTAAAACAGCAAAACAACTTTTACAACAAATTCTTATAAAAATCAAAATTAATAAAAGCTTTTTATTTCATAGGAGGAACTTTTTTTTTACCAATATATATTTTAAATTAAAACAAATATTAAAGCTTTACTTACGAATCTTATGATTTTCATACAAGTTTTTTTTGTTTTCCCGTCGAAAAAAAGTATTAACAAATAATTTCATAAACTGACAGTATTAATTAGAGATATATGATGAATTGTTAACTTTTTTTATTATAAAAATTTTTTGATTATGCTAATTTATTTTAAATTGCTAAATTTGCTAAATTGGATATGGATAAAAAGGAAATATCATTTTATTTTACATTTGATTTTTGATAATGAAACTTTTAAAATGTCGGCAACTCCATACCAATTAGAACCTGTTAAGGTTATGAAAAAAAAAGTACAAGAATAAACTAAACAATACAGTTGACAGTAGTATAAGATATGCAAATTCGTGGAAGGATATGTGAGATCTTGGTTTTGCATTAAAAGTACAATTAATAACAACACAAGTCGGCATTATAAATTTTGATTATTAGTTTACTGTTCAATATTTTATAACCATCAAATAAAAACATGGAGTTTGTATATTATCGCCCGTTTTATACAACTAATATTTAACAAAAATACGGACAAATTATTTTTATATAACACAATAATTAACACATTAATTAATGTCAATAATTCAAAATAAATGGTAATTTAAATTGTCAAAATATCATAATGCTCATTAAAAAACTTATTATATTTGGTATTTCCCAATTTGTATCGTATTTGGCATTTGTCTTTTAACATAAAAAATTTTAAAAATTTTAAAACACAACAAATACAAATTTTAAAGCAATTTACATTTACAATTTTCATTTATTCAAAGAAAAGTTACTATTAAACTTTTATTTCTCTCATCTAAAAAAAGAACGAGTGACGCAAAAAAATATATATATATATTCTATACAACTCTTTTGTTCATTGGAAGTTTAATTACGCAAAACTTTTCTTTATCTTTTGTTCTACTCTTTTATAAAAAGAGCGAGCGATGAAATAAAAACTTTTCTTTCTTAACATAAATTTATACTTAGAGATAAAATTAAATTAGAAATAAAGCAACAATGAACAAAGCAACTAACAGATTAATCTGGGATTATTTTGATATTAATGAAAATAATCAACATAAACAACATTAACAACAGCAATTATCAAATAAACAACACAATATTGCATAATTTTAGGGGCTTTTTATTTTTATTGGTTAGTCGTTCTAAATAATAAGTAAATTTAGTTCAAGTTAATATTTCAATATTTACAGTTGCAATATAATAAAGAAATGATGTTTATTGTTGAACTTTTTATTTAATTATTTATTTTTTACCTACATTTGTTATTAAAAACTTTTAAAACCCCGTCATTAAAATAATTTGTTTTGAATATATTTCAAATTGATTATTCAAAATAATTTTTTTCACTTGACTTCCTGAACTTCATGCAAAGCAAATTGAGACGAAATATTATCTAACCAAATAAAAATGCTTTTACTAATTTTATAAGGGTAATTAATGTAAAAC